TTTTTTATTATTTTTTGAGCTAAGCAAGTAACACGCCAACTATGAAATTGGTTGACTATATTTTCACGAAATTAAATGTATATATATATATAATTTAATAACATAATCATATAAATAATTTTTTTTTTATTTTTCATGATTCAATATGCAATTCGAATTTTATGATGCTTTTCGAAATTTTGTATTGTAATTTCTTTTTACTTTTCTAATGAATTTTGAAATTAATAAAAAAGAAGGAAATAATTACTCACAGATTATTTTATAAGGACTTGTATACCATTAAGTCTTACAAGTATATGTATAAATCAAAAGTCCTATTAATTCATCGTTGAAAGTTGGTTATGTGAAAATAGTCGCTAAAAAAGACTTTTTGGGGTGATTTTATGAATCTGTCACTAAAAATTGACAATTAGTGACATTTAAGTGTCAATTTTCTAAATTTGTTCTAAAAATAAAAATTAGTGACGCCTTTTTTGTGACAAACTTTGTAATTGTCACTAAAAATTAATAATTAGTGACACTTTTTATGAAAACATCGCTAAAAAAATATTTAAAAACTCAATTTTATCGTAGACAAACTATTTTAGTAATTTTTTGCCTTTTAAGAAAAGATGTGCAGAAAAATAGAGAGTAATATGGTAACTTGTAATAATTTTTTGACTAAAATAATTATTCCCCAAACAACGCCTAACAACAATTTAAAGCGAAATATGATTTTATTTGTGCACCTATTTTTCTAATAGAACTTTTCTGTTATTCTCCCCAAAAGCGAATGACCCCTTTTGGTAGAACTGTGGAAAAGTGATTATAGATTATAACTTAACAGATTATACCTTATAGCTGTGAAAATAAGCTGTTAATCTGTTTGGTACAGCTATGAGATTATGAATTTAAGCAGCAGAGTAGTGTTTGGTTGATAAGATGTAAAATAACTTTTTGTTGTGCAATTGTCTTTTTTGCCCTTATATGATATAAAAATGATTATTTTGTCATTTTTTTTTCAGTTTTAATTTTAAAAAAAAATTTCATTAATAAAAGTTAATATAATTAGTATTACAAAAATTATTATTTTCATTTCTTCATTATAAATTAATTAGTATAAAATTATTTCATTTTTTCATTATAAATTAATTAGTGTCAATTAATGGCTTATTTTCATTTTTTCATTATAATTTATTATTTTCACTTTTTCATTATAAATTATTATTTTCACTTTCTCATTATAAATCAATTAGTATAAAATTATTTCATTATAAATTAATTAGTGTCAATTAATAGCTTATTTTCATTATAAATATTATTTTCATTTTTTCATTATAAATCAATTAGTATAAAATTATTTCATTATAAATTAATTAGTGGCAATTAATGGCTTTTTGTAATCAATTAATACTAAAATTATTAATTAGTATTAATTAATATAAAATTTATTTTAGTAATGACACACTTGTCATAACTTGAAATTGTGAGGGGCGTTTAAGTCATTTTGCTCCTCAAATGGCAGTTGCGCGCTTAAGCTGTTTGGAAAAGCTTCTCCTGTCCCATTCAAAGAAAAAACTGATTTTTGTCTTAAAAAAAATTATAATCTATATTATTAAACTGAATCAAATATACCGAAATAGCTTAAATTAAGATAAAAACTAAAATAAGTCCTACGAAACAGAGCTAATGAATTAAAGCCCAAATCAACCCATATGGGCTATGCTTGCCTGAAGGAAGCCCATGAGTAAGAAGAGACCCAGCCCATTCGGAGCTTTCTTCACGACGTCGTTTAATTGTGTTCTACACTAAATTAAAAAGTATCCCTTGGCGTCGCCCGGACTCGAACCGGAGACCTTCAGTGTGTTAGACTGACGTGATAACCAACTACACCACGACACCGTTTTTGCTTTAAAGTCAATAATTTAGCTATATAATAATTATTATTCTGTAAAACAACTGAATTTATTTTTTAATTTTTTTCTAGGCCTAATATCACAAATTCAAATTTCAGCCATCAGTTTTCTAGTCGATTAAAATTTATTCTAATTCTTGGTTTTTAAAGATTCAAGTTCTTTGACTAAGTGTGGTACGAAAAAGAAAAAGAAGTCTCAAGAGTAAAAAATAAAAAGTATAGATAATTTTAGGACTGATGTTTAATATTTATATTGTCTTATTCTTAGGCAATAAAACATTCTTACCTAAAAAAAAGATTAAGACCGACAATTTAAATCTCACAATTTTACTTATATTGTCATTACATTGATTTGTCACAAACTTAGTTCTATAAAGTTCAACTCTTTTATCATATTTTGACATTTCTCTCCTTCATGTTGTGCTAATCCTCTCATTACAAAGACCATTGAGGATAGAAAGTTCTTAATGCAAGGGCTCTTCACAAATCTCTCCAATGACAATTATAGGCCTGTCTTATGCAACAAAATCATGGTAATAAAATCCCATTTGTTGCAATATTTTAGTACCTCAGTTTTTATCTCTATGCTACGATATGAAATTTGTTTTATTCAATGCTTTTTACAAAATAAATTAACAACATATGTTCTCCAACCTAATCATTAGCTTGCCTTTATTTTCTTTAATTTTTCACTAAAATCTTAGAGCAATAGCTAAAAATAAGTACTTTTTTGTGTGTGTTTTGGTTTTTTTTTTTTTTTTGGGGGGGGGGGGTGTTCTAAAACCTCAAAAGGGAAAGGCTTGTTCGTTTTTAGTTAAATAACTAAGGGTAGTGTGATAATTTTTCACAAAAAATAAAAATTTGAGATGTCCCGTAGAACTTTCTTCATAATTTTTGTGATTATTAAACGCATCAACTTTTATAAATTCTTAAAAAATAAAGGGTGAATTACACTAATAGCGCCTATAGTTTAGAACTTGTGTCACTTTGATCCCTGACTTTTCAATTGTGACACATTTGACCCTGAATTTTAAATCTTGTTCCAAATAAGGACGATTGAAGATATCATTAGATTTTTCAAGTGTAAAATCGTCAATTTGATAAAATATAAGCTAATTTGACAAAAATAAATGTCAAACAAATATTTTTAAATTTTTAAAAATTATTTCTACCCACTAAAAATAAAATTATGTAAAATTGATAAATCTTTTAGACATTTTTTTTTTACCAAATTAATTTTTATTATTTGTTTGGATAATGATCATGTAAAATTAATCTGTAAAAATTAATCATGTAATTTTTATTAATTTTTATTAATTTTACATAATTTTATCATTGGTGGATAAAAATAATTTTAAAAAAATTAAAAATATTTTTTTGACATATATTTTTGTCAAATTAGTTTATATTTTATTAAATTGATAATTGTTTTATTGAAATTAAACAATGGTATCTTCAATTGTCCTTAGTCTGAGCAAGATTCAAAATTCAAAGCCAAATGTGTTACAATTGAAAAGTCAGGGACTAAAGTAACACAAGTTCCGAACTATAGGGACTGTTAATGTAACTTGTCCAAAAATAAAAGAAGTTATTAAAAAAGTAATTATCAAATTCCGGCCTAATCTCTAATTATCTTATCGTGTAATGTAGACGTGGGGACTAAGATATAACTCTGGTTGTTTAAGACTAACTAAAAGATCACAATCTTTTAGTGGGGACTAAGATCATTAGCAGCAACTTTTAATAATGGCTTTGAAGTCAAATTGCAAATTAGTATTTAAGACAAGCCTCCATTAGGACAACAAATATATCTTAATATATTTGTTAGCTGTCAATTTTTCTCGTCATTAACAAAACTGAATTAAAGTAGGCTCAATATAGAATTGACACAACCTCCCAATCATCATTCTTCTATATAATGAGTATCTAAATGGTAAGAGTTGTGTATCTCCTGAAATAATTCATGCAAAAAACAAGTAAATCTAAATCCAAATTACAAAAGAAAAAGGAAGAATAGGAAGTGACCTCTATGTGGTTTACATAGTGGACTGAAACGTACTATTAGGTTCGTGGGACCCATCACAGGGTCCTGTTTCAGTAATCCGAACTATTCAATGTGCAAAGATCGTCGAGTACTTTATGCCTGTAAAAAATTACGTTGATCAGATATCGATAACCCTTAACCGAAACACATTGTTTTTATATTCAAAATCGAAACATATTTTTGTCCATGATAAATATGATTTTAAAAATAAATTGTTAACAAAAATTTGTCCCGATCAAGGGACTACCAATATCTTATCAACGTGATTTTTTGCAGGCATAAATTACTCGACAAACTCGACAAACGCCACATATTGAATGGTTCGAATCATCGAAACGGGATCCATGATGGATCTCACGAGCTCAACAATATGCTCCAATCCACTATATAGACTAGAGAGAAGCTATTTCTTAATTAATAAGCTCGAGATTGATCTATATGTAACGTACCAAATTGAATGTGATAAGTATGACGTCTAATTACATTCAACAAGAAGTTCATTCTAAGAAATTATAAAAAGTCCAGTTAATTATATTAAAACCCCATCAATTAATATCTCAATTATAAAAACCGTACAAATGTTTAGAAAGGTAGAAGCCATACATTAGTTGAAAGAGTTAAAATTTACAGGTTCAATATAAGAAGATAAAGTGATATTTAATAATAATTAAAGGATCTTGTTGTAATTATTTAAAAAGTTATTTCATTATTGTCAACAAAACTGTACTATCATCCAGATCTACAAACACTGTACGCCTATTTGTTTAAACAAAAAAATAAAATAAAACCATATCTCTCTTCAGATTACTTTAAAGGCAAGAGACAAAGACATATAGTTTACTCGAATTTTCAACCTCCCCAAAAAAAGTTCAATCAAACCACAAGTCAAGTCATTCATATGCAACAGGTGGATGCTTAACATTGCCAACCAATCAATCATGATAAAATGAATTTTTTTATTTAAAAAAACACTAAATAAATAAATAAAACCCCTTCAAAATGAACCTGACATCAAACAAGCTTGAAGACAGATGATCTGAAATGGAATACTGTTGGCCTTGATTACTAAAATTTGGAAAAAAATGAAGATTATTCACGTAGTTTATTACAGCTTCAAACAATGCACAAACATTAAAAAAAACATTGTTAGATTTCTTTCAGAGAAAGAGCTTAAGAGCTGCATGAAGATTCTTCACAAGGTCCTTCACTTGCATGGTGAATTCCTCATCTATCTGCAAAAATTTGAGATTGGTTTCAATTCGTAGAAGCGAAGAATTTGAAATAAAAATTTCACTTTATTTTCTTCCCAAATTTTAAGGTTTTGATCTACAATATAAACACCTTGATAGCATGCAAAACACTAATAATGAGATTTATTTATTTTTTTTAATTTTTTGTATTTTTGGAAACAAAAACAATGAAAATTTGGAAACACCCTTTATTTTTGTGCGAAAACAGTTCTAGAAATTTTGAAAAAAAATTCTAGTGTTTTCTGAATAGTGGGTTGTTTTGAAAATAATGACGAAAGTAGTTCAGAAACTGGTTGTCAAACAAGTTTTCCTGTATTTTCTGTAAAATGAAAACAGGAAACAGGAAACAGGAAACTTAAGATATATGAAATTACCTGAGCAACAATGGTTATGTCTAGAACAGCACTTCCAAAAGTCATGGAACTGCAATTGACAACTGATAGATTTAGCTTCTCAATTTCCTCTACTGTTTATGTGTTTGGTTATGAGTTTTGAAAAGTAATGATTATGTTTTGAATTGAGTTTTGAGAAATGAGTGTAGAATTATGATTTGAAAACCCTAAACAAACACCATACTCAAAAGTGAGTGTGGAACTAGATTTTGAAAACTCCACCAAACGAAGCCTTAGCTTCTCAATTTCCTCTACTGTTTTTTCAAGGACTCCTTTCCTTTTCTCGCAGTGAACTCTTATGAGCACATCTTTGTCACAAATTCTTGCTTCAATCTGGGGGAGTGGCTCATCATATGGGCCACCAGAGAAATTCTCATCCGAGGAAGAAATCTCAGAGTCACCACACACCTCATGTTTTTTCACAAAGATTACTGATTCAATCGGTTTCTTCCTCACTTGTTCCTCAAGTGTCTTCACTCGCTCTTCAAGTTGTTTCAAGTACTTTATAGCATCTCCTAGAACAGAAGCCTTGTCCATCTGTTAGTAACATGGTGACAAAGTCAGAAAGACTCATGTATTGCTGTAAGGATTTTCCCACCCGGTAATGCTACAGACCTAGACTTTGTCTAGGAAAATTTCCAGAATGCAGTGCGACAGCATTGTATTCATCCTAATAGAGCGTGGGTCTCATCTAGGATGAATACAGTGCTTGCATTCTGGATACTTTTATGCAAAAATTTATGCATTCCTAAGCTTATTGTTGAAGCAAAGAACAAAACAACATTGTACTCAATGCATCTTCTTAGGTATGTAATTTGGTCCCCCACACACACACACGCACACAAACATACACACACAAAAATCAACAATCAAATTAACAAAGAAGATTCAAAATATATATGAATACCTTCTTTAGGCCAGGGACTATAGCAGATAAAGCTATGAACCGTTGACTGAGCTTCTCTCTCCTCTTCCTCTCAGCCATAATGTGATCTTGATTGTTAGAAAGTTTAGTGTTTGTGCTAATCCTCTTACCACCTTGAGAAGCCTTGAACACACAATTTTGGTTTCCAAACGAGCCCTGAGACTCCAGAATATCAGAGGAGAAAGTAATAATACTTTCAGACGATAACACCTGGTCTTCAGTCTTTAGGGTTCCAACTTGAGTAGCATAAAATGGAATTTGATTGGGAGAAGAAGTGGCTTGAGGCGGGTTTGAGACATGATCGGTATTAGAGGAATTCCAACTGTTGATTTTGAGGATTTTCACGGGCCTGTTGATGTCGGTATGAGATGATACTTCCATGGAAGGTTCAAGATCGAAGATCGGATGAGAGAAAGAGTGATGTGAATTCTCCCAAAATGAAGGTGCAATAATAGAGACTGTGTTGATATCAGCAAGAGAGTTACTTGGCCATTGATGGGTGAAGCCAGGATCCTCCATTTTCCCTGTGAAGAGAAGATATATTCTTGTTCTATTAACTAGTCACACAAATGCAACAAAAAATATTGAATTACTTCCAAAAATTAAAATTCAACAGTTCTAATCAACATTTATAAAACAGAAACAAAGAAAAAAGAAGTGTTGAATTCAAGAGAGATTAAACAAGAGTGGTAAACAGAATTTTTTTTTTAAAGTTAATAATGTTGGATAAAATAGTATCAAACTATAAGGAAAATATAATGTAAAATTATATAAATGCTTTTTGGGCAAAACCAAAAACTCAAATATATCAACATAATAACGTGATAAAACTTACAGTGCGTAAACAGATAAAACCTGATCGAGTCGAGTGTGTGACACTATTTCCTTAAAACAGATTCGTCCTCCCACCGGTGCTTAGGATTCAATGGACGTCTATCTCCCAGAATACAACGATCAATGTCTTGCACTAGCAGCACTACTATTGCAAGCCTAGCGAACTTTGCTATGCATGAACTCTCTTTATAGGAAAATTAGACTCAGGCAATATGAAGAATAAATGCAAAGTGAAGAAGAATGGCAATTCCCCATACTAAATGAAGTGGGGGAGATGGAATATAAAGACATCTATGTGACTCTTTAGAAAGGTTGTGATCCTTTAAAAGGACACACCCTTTCATCTCAAGAGACACAACCATTGGAGTAAATTTAAATTCAAATTTTCCAACAATCCCCCACATGAATGAAATTTACGGAAAGGACATGCAACAACATGCAGACAAAGAGAGAGTACATTATGGAAATATCCTGCATCGGGATAGGTAGCTTTCGGCTTTGAACCTTCCCTAGTGAAAGCCTATCGGACTTACTAGCTAATCAGTGGACGTGATGCCTTGAACTGTTCAGCCGTTTGTGTAAGCCAAGACAATAGAATTCACACACAATATCTCCAAACACAGCTTAGTTCTCATGGTTGTGCCCGTTTTGGCCTTGGGCAAGTCCTGGTGTTTCTTGAGTGCTTTAGAGAATTTAGCCTTATCAATTCTCATAGAAGCGGCCCCTTCACACTCATATAGGTGATCCTTATTTCGAGTCTCTTAAATACTCCTCTTGAAAGATACCCCTCTAGGATTTCCAAGATATAAGTAATCATTAAAAGCATAGCTTATTTGTCTATAAATAAATAAAATTTGTAAATAAATAAATAAATAAATTGTATATGAAGATTTATATTATATATAATTTGTAAATACTATATTAATAAGCGGGTTGGGTCAAGCTATGCTCAAGGACTATTCCCAAGCTTAACTCATTTAATAAGCGGGCCTAAAAAATTATTTTAACCTAATTATATGGCCAACATTATCAATTCTAAATATTTAAAAATACAGATTGCAAGTGATCGGGCTCATGCTCACCCTAGATAAATACTAACTCCACCCATATTGTCGCATTATCCTATACTATATATTCATAATTGAAGTATCTCATCTCTATTGCAATTTTTTCAAATCAGACAAAAATTGCAAGGGTAGTAAGTCCTATTATGAGGTGAATCACGTAAAATTTTAAATTATTATGCATTTAATTTAAATTCGTACTTTATTGTTGTTTGTGCTTCGTGTCTCGTTGATCCTAATTTAGGTGTATCATCAATTCCTAATAATCCAAAGCAACACTGCTTTGGACTAATAAAATCAAACTCGCATATGAATACATATGAGGAGTTAACTTGCATACATCTACTCTCTCAAATGACGATGCATTGTCTTTTTCGCCCTTATATATGTATATGTATAATACATATTAAACATATTTATGCACCTCATCTAGTGGAAAAGAGAGAGGTTTTTGTATCTACATACATATGGCTACAAGCAAGAAGACAAAAATATAAAATTACAAATAATCACAAGGATAGGTACATTTATGTATAAATTAAGAGAGGCCCTCTTCCTTTGTGAATTGTGTGTAAAAAATCGCATTCAACATGACGTGTTAGTGACATATGTTTTGGTGGCTTGCCAAACATCAAACTAAGGTTCTAGGAATTTTTGGTGGGTCTTCAAAAAAGGTGATAACTTTCAACATTTATATTCATTTTTTATTAAATATTTTGTAGGTGCAGATTGTATAGTAATTTCATATAAATGTAGTCATATACATAAATAATTATTCAATAATTTTGAATATTTTTATTTATGTACTTGACATTATGAGCAGACAATGCCATATGCCATATATCTCATGAGATAAATTTTTTCAATCAAATTTGTTTGATTCTATACAGGGTTTTCAGCTTTCCCTTTCACTACTTTTAGCTTGGACTTGGTATTTTATATTCAATAATGTTGCAAACCCAATATATATGTGTGTGACTGATTTTCTGACCACACTGCCCGCTTAGTAACCAGCTGAAGAGCACTAGCAGAATAGATATTACCTGACTGACCTGCAACAGAAATATAAGAATCCCGCGGTGGTTTCGACCACCCGGGGGCACTCCGACGATCAAGTCAGTATATCTCTCAAAGATAAATCTAGTACTAAACTCACAAGCTTGAGTATCAAAAAGCATACCTTAGACCCATGGGGGTGCCTCTCTTTTATAGCCAATACAATCCTAATCCCAAAAGGAGCCTGGCCCTAATGGACTTAGGATTACTGCTAATCTGGGACTCCCAGTGGGATTAGGATAAACTCTCTAAGAGTCTTATCTTTACCCAAACTGAAGTCTTCTCCCAATCTAGGATTCTTGTCCATATCCAAGTTGAGTTCCCTCTTGATTCTAGGACACTTGTTCCTTATCCGCTTATCTCGGATTTCGATATCTTCGGAGATCACCTCGGCATAACTACCAGGACACGTGGCACCTCGGCTGACACGTCGGCATTACCATGCCACGTGTTGGTATTCAGAAAATACATCCCCACAATATGTTACATTATATTACATTACAGAAAAATGCACATAATCCAAAATAGATATAATATTGCATTTTGTGCACTTTTTAAATTTTTGATATGTATATTTTTTTTTTCTAAAATTTAGTAAGAATTCAAGTTTGGCTTTCAAGAGAAAGAAATTAATCATATGATCAGCATGAATGACCCCTATCTATGCAAGTCGATAAAGATGAATAGAATGGTAAACATCTTGTGTACAAACATTTCTAAGTTAAATTTGAATTTAGTGTCAAATTCTTAAGAGTATCTCTAATGTTAAATTATAAAAATGATATGTCAAAACCAAACTTTGATATGCTATAATACTTCAAATGTTAAAATTTTACAGGCTTACTCCAATGGGAAAATGTTCCTTTTTTTTAATTTCAAATTTGCATTGCATAGCCTAGTGGTAAGGGGTGTGAAAAGAATTTTTTTAATTTTTTTTTAACCAAATATTTAAACATCACAAGAATATCGTGCATTCAATACCGAAAGTATGACTATTTGATTTTTTGGTGGCATAAATAGTGTGGCTGATTTTATTGGATGACTAATTGTTTTCCTATAAAATCTCACAACATTCTCTTGATCCAATTACAGTCTTGTGTTTGTTCTTGGGAAAGGAATTGAAGATGCTAATGATGAAATTGAAGCATAGTTTGTGATCTCCTTCTCTGTTGATTTTGTCTTCTTCATGGTTGTATTTTGTCACATTCGAACCCTTACATTCTCCATTCTACTCCTAGTTCTGTTCGAACCCTTGCATTCTCCATTCTACTCATAGTTCATTTGCATGATCTTGATTACGAGTTTGAGATACTGGAGCAAACTAAAATTTTTACATTCTCCATTCTACCCATAGTTCATGTGAGCTTGCACTTCAATGGTGATAAGATTGTATATCCTCATCATTTCACATGAATTTTATTATGCCCTTTGTCCGAAAAATTATACCAAAACATATGTCTCCTTCTTTGATTTCCTGGATAATTATACCAGACCATAGCTTCCCTTTCCTCCATTGGCTCTCATGGCAATTCCTTAGTAATAAAAATAAGTGTGAGATCATTTTCAAATTATAATTATAATAATAAATGCAATAATTTGTTAAATTGAAATTTCAATAGTAATTTTGTGTAATGTATTTCAATATAAAGAATATGTAATTAATTATAATAATTCAATTGTATTAGTATTTCTATCCATCAGGATAATGAATGGGGTTTGATTTTGTGCTCTATCAAAAAAAAATGAATGGGTTTCGTTTTTAGGAGATTTATTGAAAAATTCTTTTTCAAGTGTTTGTAGTTTTTGGGAGATTTATTAAAAAATTCTTTTTCAAGTGTTTGTATTCCAATTAATTCATAAGATATTCTTGTATTCTAATAAGTCCTATTATTTGAACATTTGATCTACAAAATCCTAATTCTTATATTTAAAGTATTTTATGGATATTTCTACCCTTACAAATATTTTTTGAACGGTTAGCAATTTGGTGAACGGTTAGCAAATATTTTTACAATATGAATATTCATATTGACGTGTGAATGTTCACATTGACATGTTAACATTCACATTGATGGTGTGAACATTCACATTGACAGTGTGAATATTCACATCACAAAACATTCATACTGTAAATATGAATATTATTAGGGGTATTTTGGTAATTATGTCACTCATAAGACTTATTGGAATATAAGAAAGTAATCTGAACTAAATGGAACATAAGTAGTTAAAAATGGATTTATAAAAATGCGCCCCTTGGTTTTTTATGGTCCACTAAACCATATTGTTCATTTTGTAGAGTTCTTTGTATATATCATCTATAGGGGGAAAAAAATCCATTTAATAATTATATCTTATTCAATTTATTACATTTTATCTCAAAAAAATGAATGACAAATGTCTTTTTTAAAATAAATCATCTATTTTTTTAGTGACAAATACAATATATAAAAGATATTACAAAATAAACGATTTAAATTATTAAAATAAAATTTATTATGAATCTCACGAGCCGAAATAATACCTCTAGTCCAGTCCACATTTTGAACTACCGAGCCAACCTTTTTTTTAACCTATGTGCACATCTTGTGCAAATGCGAAGTTTTTTTTTTTTTAATTTTTAATTTTTAATTAATTTATTTTTTATCTATACAAGGCAACAAACATAAAGATAGAAATAAAATGGATAAATTATACCGACACTATGAAGGTTTCTATTTAATATATAACTTCATTACGTTTGAAAAATTAT